GACAATGGAACAGTGCTTACACATTTATTGTTCATTTAACCCCCAACAACATTTTGGTAATTGTTAAATACACTCTCCCAGTTGTTTATGTTTTTTAAATTAAATTAATTGATTTAAAAAATTTAATAAAAACGTGATTAATTAAAAAGTCTGAAACACAGTGGTGTAAAACTTTCTACTTGTTTTGAACTCAAAGTCTCTGCTTCTAGAGCTGAGACAGAGCATGGTATGGCTGCACAGGACTTTAATCCCAGCACTTGGGAAGCAGAAGCAGAAGGCTATCTGTGAGTTATAGGCAAACCTGGTCTCTAGAGCCAGTTTCAGGTCATTTCAGGACTACATAGTGGGACTGTGTCTCAAAGGAAAAAGGACTTAACACAAGGTACATTTACAGATACTTCCTACATGAAGAGAAACAAGCTAGGCTTTTAAAGAAATATAAATACTGCATGTTCTTACCTTTGTGAAATCTAAATCCATTACAGTCATAGACAGAAACTAGAGCAGTGGTGATTGGGAAGTAGAAGGTAGGGGTGGGAGGGTGAAGAGGTGTGATCAAAATATGAAAAGGTTCTATTAGATAGGAGAAATGAGGGGTTTGTTTTTTTTGTTTGTTTGTTTTGTTTTTCGAGACAGGGTTTCTCTGTGTAGCCCTGGCTGTCCTGGAACTCACTCTGTAGACCAGGGTGGACTCGAACTCAGAAATCCACCTGCCTGTCTCCCAAGTGCTGGGATTAAAGGCGTGCACCACCACTGCCCTGCTGAGAAATGAGTTTTAACAATCACTTTCACTTAATTATTTTTTGTGTGTAAGTGCTTTGACTGCCTGTAAGTTTGTGTACCACATGTGTACTTGGTACCTGAAAAGGCTAGAAGAGAGCACTGGATCACCTGTAACAGGAATTACACAGTTGTGAGCTCCGTTATGGGAACTGGGAAATCGAACCTGGATCCTCTGCAAGTGCATCCAGTGTTTTAACTGCTGAGCCATCTCTCCAGCCCCAGAGGAAAGATTTTTGAGATCTCTTATCAGTATAATCACTATGGTAATAAAAGAGTATTGAGCTTTGAAAATTACTGTGACTATATTTCTAATGTTCATATCAGATAAACTAAATATGTCAGATAACGGTTATATTAATTTGCTTGACTGAATCATTCTGAGACAAGCTTAAAAATCAGAGAAAAGGATGGAGATGACGAGGGAAGAAGCACTTCATCCCAGAATCGAAAAATAAGAAATCTCAGCACAGTGAGGAAATATAAGCTGCCTGCAGAAATAATGTCCTGTTTCCCAAAGACAGCTCAAACAAGTTTGGTAAAAACAACAAATGAACTGGTTACCTTATTGGTTGTGATCTTGAAGTTAACTATATTAGTACTTGTTGCTGTGAATCCAGAATAGGACAACTGATAAAAACACTTTAACAATTACATTTGGAAAAGAAATTTATTTCAGTAAAATAAAAAAAACGGCTCATATTTTTTTCTCTCATTTAATTTTATGTCTAGCTTTTAAATGTTGCTTAGTCCTTGAACTAAAAAATTATATCCTCTGGGCAGTTTATGCATATATGGCTCCTTTGATTGCCCCCATTAAATTTGCAGTATGTGCTAAGTCAGTATCCCTTCTTCAAAAGCTCTCTAGCATGCTTCATTAAAGCTCACCCTGAAATAGTTTTCAATGGCATAATCAAGTATCTGGGATGAATCTCACTGCCCACATTGACAATTCCACATTCTATATATGTAACATAACATTAAATTGAACCTCATTAACATATTGAATTTATTAATATTCATGGAGATACAAATGAAAGTAAAAAGTTTTCTATGCAGTATGCAACAAAATCCATCTGTCATTTTCTCTGTGATAATTTCAACCAGGTCTGACTGCTGGCAATGTGCCTAACCATCCACAGATATATCCTTTAGTAAGGAGCCCCCAAGAAGTGCCTGACTTGTCAATGAAATGATCCAGGGCAAGAATCCTCCTGCTTGACGTTAGGAGAAAGACAAGTTTGTTAACTTGAGTCTGACACAGAATAAAAAGCCATGGAAATTATGGGAACATAAAAAGGCAAAGAAGGGGCTGGAGAGATGACTCAGTGGCTAAAAGCACTTATTGACCTTTCAGGGACCCTAAATTCAATTCCTAGTATCCACATGGTGGATCACAACTGTCTGTAACTTCAGTTATAAGGGAGCTGACTGCCTATTCCAGTTTCCAGGGGAACAAGGCATGCATATATGTGTGGGGCTGTAGCTCGAGCGTGGGCATGGCTGTTGGGCTGAGTTGTGGGTCCCACGTTTCTGTCACCCCAGGTGGCTGGAACTTCGGCTCAGGGGTCAGAAGCATGGGGAATTTGACTGAGTTCACTCCACACGGTGGGCGAATGCCGGGCTATGGGAAGCCACAGACCTCCAATCCAGGCATGGGGAGATCCCAGTCTGAGGTCCCATGGGGGCTGGAGCTCTTGGGTTGCCCCCCTCACCTCCGGTTAAGAAGGTGAACAGGGATCAGCTGGTCTCAAGCCCTATATTATAGGACCTAGTTTGCCTTTCCTGCTGAAGTCAAGAAATTTCAACACAACCGCTAAAGAAAAAATGGCCTACAGAGAATTCTCTCTGTAGTTTTTTCTAAAGTTATCCAAAGAAAGATTTACTGGCAAAAACAATAAATAAATTATACTTATTAGGGCCGTAATTCTTGTAGCCTTGAGTTTTACTATATAGCAGTCTTCTATAATCCTTAAATAAAAATAATGCACTATAGCTACTTTACAATTTCATTAACAACAGAAATTTTGTATAATAAAAGAAGCTCATATATTTTTAACTTGTGGTGCATGCTTATAGTCCTAGCACTTGGGCGGTAGAGACAGAGGAATAAGAAGTCAAGGGTATTTTCAGCTATATATGGAGCTACTAGCCAGCCTAGGTTACATGAGACCCTGTCTCAAAAACCCAAAGGAACTTTTTATTTAATTTTAAGATCTACTTAATCTTTAAACCTTATTGTAAATTACATCCTTTAAAGATAGCTATTGTGAATCAAATTGAAGACTCAGACATAAATCCACATACTTATAGACACTTGATTTTTCTTTTATAAAGATGTCAGAAATACACACTGAAAACAAGGACAGCATCTTCAACAAACGGTGCTGGTCTACCTAGATGTCAACATACAGAAGAATGCAAATAGATCCATACTTATACCATGCATAAAGCTCACTTCCAAATGAATCAAAGGTCTCAACATAAAACCAGATAAACTAAATCCGATAGAAGAAATATTGGCACAGGAGACAACTTCCTGAACAGAACATCTATAGCACAGGAACCAAAATCAACAATTAATAAATGGAACCTCATGAAACTGAAAAGCTTCTGTAAGGTAAAGGACACCTTCAATAGGACAAAATACCAGCCTACAGAATTGGAAAAGATCTTTTCTTTACCAACTCCACATCTGACAGTAGGCCAATATTCAAAATATATAAAGAACTCAAAAAACTGGATATCAAGAAAACAAATCATTTAGCTCATGATGGTTTAGATACATTTCTTAGTATGATCCTAAACTTAGCAATATTAGCATTTCCCTCTGTAGGGAACCCAGTGGCCTATGCTTTAACTGGCTTTGTAGAAGCATGGAGAATTTGAGAATCACTGACTTAGAATGCTTGCAAAATAGTACTGATTTTCTGGTTTATAAGGCACTAGGCTGTATAATTCAGAATTAAAATTTTCTGGCAGGTACACAATTCCCTGATGTGAAATGAGTTCTTTGCAAAACTGAAGTACACACAAATATGTCAAATCATCAGACCAGCAAATTTAAGATTTCTGTATTGTGTTGATCTAACTCAGTGTCACAGGCTGTACCTTTGAGGAGAGACCTTGGTGGCTGGGTAAGGCAGGGTTCCTTACTTAAATTTTTCCATGATGTGAGAAACACCCTCAACCAAACAAACAAACAAAAAACTAGTTTGGACTTACATGCTGCTCAGTTCTCCCAAGTGGCTGCACATTGGTATAAAACTAGGAATACTCAAGACCTGGAGGAAATTTTCCTTGAGGATATTTTTGTCTTGATTCTGTTTTTAAAACCTGTTGAATCATGATTTCAAAGAACTGTGCCAAACCTTGTTACCAAGGTAGTCTGGTGGTCCTTAGTAGGTTTTCTAGCCTCTGACTGAAGAACATGTTAATCACTGAAAAAGTCACTATCAATATGAATGATAAATTATTAAGTTTACAGTGTGAGGACTTTCTGATTTTAATTTTCCTGAAAATAAGACAATTGCAGATAGGGGAATCAAAGTCTCTAATTGTCAACCGTTCAACTCTCTCTTGCTGTCTTGATTATCTTGAACAAAAGGACTGTCAGTCACATAGCTGGACTACTCTTATGCCAGCAACAGACCTTTGGAATATTCTAGGGATCCCTTAAGAAAATTATATGACAGTCCCAGCTTATTTCCCCTGATCCTAAATGTACTCAGTGTTGTCTGAAACTTTACAAGTCGTTTTGCTATCATAGGCCATAGTGAACCTTAGATGACCATAAACTATTTCTACATAGACTACAGGGAGTGCCCTTCCCTCAGTGATGAAGAAAGCGGACTTCTGTCACTGGTTTTAAGTTCTGGTGATGAATGGTCTAAAACAAGCCTCAGTGGCTCTGTATGTGTAAACAGGTTGCTTGGTCTCACTAGTTAGTTTACATCAGCAGTTCTCAACCTGTGGGCCACAACCCCTTTGTGGTCACATATCAGATATCCTGTATATTTACATTCCAATTCAAACAGTAGCAAATTACTTATTCAGTAGCCATGAAAATAATTTTATGGTTGGGGGTCACCACAACGTGAGGAACTGTATTAAAGGGTCTCAGCATTAGGAAGGTTAAGAGCTTAAACTTTCCTGTCCTTTCTTATGATGTGGTAACATCAGGTCTAATAACAAACTTCTGTCAAGTGGTCTGTTCTTACCTCAGTTTTGTAGTGTAAGCTGAGCTGATAACACAAAGCAGCAGCAAGAGTGAGGAACAAGTGCATCCAAGTGGAAGCTGTGAGGCCAAGAATGATGGCTAGCTGTTAACAGCTGAAGATGAAGAAGGTGAAGACCTCCAGAGTGGCCAGACCAGGAAGTAAGGCTGCCGAATGAGAAATAAGGCAGGGTGAAGAGTTAATGGTGAAGAAACACAAAGGCCTATAAAAAGCCAGAAAGGCAAGTCCTAGTCACTAGGAGAGTTCCCAAGGGCTGTGAAAAACCTACAGCCAAAGGAATCAGACCCATAAAGAGCTATGACATGGGCCTGAGTTACAGGTTAAGGAATCCCAACATAGTGAGCCTACAAAACAACTGTAGTAGATTCTGCAGAAGACCAGGGATGTGGCTCAACCTGACAGCCTAAGTTCAAGCCCCAGGACTCGTGATGAAAGAAAAAAAAATAATCAAGTCCACCAACCTGTCCTCTGACCTCTACCAGTATGCCATAGCATGCACATGATTACAGACATCATTTTTTTAAAGACTGAGGAACCCCAATACATATGCTTATTTGAATGCTTTAATTAAGCCAGTTATAACCAAGGGACAAAGAATGCCACTTTCTTTGACCACTTAAGAGCTACATAGCACTTGTAGGGTGGCAAACTAGGTACCCAAGAACTGATGCTTTCTTCCACCTGCCACAGCAACCACTGCTAAGCACCAAATGCCAGAACAGCAGTCCTTGAGGTCACTCTCATTGTTACTAAGTTTGGTATCTGGGTAGAACAAAAGAATGACCATCCAAATAATAAGTAACATATTTATTCTTACTCTTTGTGTTCTGATTGCCTCTGTTTAATGAAATGACAATCAGAACAATGTAGACAGCAAGATTCCTATCTAAGTCAGGAGCCTCTCCAGGTTACTACCAGATTTTTTCAGCATACCTTGTAAACACAGATGTATTAAACCACATTTCTGTAACTGATTGGTCAATCTGTCCCTAAGTAAGCATGTAAACTGGGAGAAGGAGAGTATTTGCTATATAGCAACTTACTGTGTTGCTCTAGCAACCCTAAAACTCACTCTTCAGCCTAGGCTGGACTTGAAACAGGTAGTCCAAGTACTGAGACAACAGGCACATGCCATTGCAGCCCTTTTTAATTGCTTTGGCTTTTTGTTGACTACCTGACTTTTCTCTTTTTAAGCTGTCTCATTTATTTTATTTTAAATTTTACACATTAGCACCACGTGCTCCTCACTGAACTGGGAACTGTTAGATAGCAAATGGAGACCTGCTCCTTCTGAGTGTTTTGATTACTCTACTGTGCCTGGTTCCATGGATTTCTTTGCTTTTCTTTGTTGTGTATCTGTGGGCTTTCCTTTGTTTTATAACTTGCCTGGACAATGATCTGGAAAGCAACCTGAAAAGAAGACAGCTTAATTGATAATCTGTTCTGACCATTTTCAGGTTGGCGAGGGGGTGTAAAAGGCAGATGTAATTATCTGCCATTTTCCAGGAGACTATTAAGAACCAGTCTCTAAAATGAGGGCTTTAAAGGAAGGTTGGCCACAGTAATACTTTTGATCTGCTTTTGACTCCTTACAGTGATTTTTGTCTTCTATGGTGGGGAGATCTTTAGCAGGCTGAAAACAAAACTCCCTACATGGCTTTCTAAATACTGACTCCTAATACAGTTTCTGGGCCAATTACTCCGTCTTTCTGATTCTTACTTTACATATAGCTTAGTACCAGAAAGTAGACAACACCCTTTGTTGTCGATGGATGATGGGTTAAGTACAACTATTAGTTCTACTATAAACAGAAATGCACAGGGGATTTTAATACAAACCAGGTATTTTGTGTTCTTCACTTTGAGCACAAACCACTAAAGAAGTCCACAATGGCAGAAAATCACTTCTTCTTAATTTAGAAAGACCATGTTACCACTACAATTCAAAGCATACAATAATGATCAAAAGGAACAAATTCACTTTGTTACATAAGACAAACTGTAAAAATGCTAGACACAAACAGAGTTAGAAAATTATAGATCAATTAACATTTTAAGGAGTTGTTTTGACCTTACCACAAAAGGAATAAGTGCATACACCAATCTATGGGGCTCCATCAAATCAAAACTCCTCTGGATAGGTGAAGATGTGGTAGCTGAAGATTTTGAGAGAGAAAAATTCAGAGACACAGATAAGTGTTGGAGAATTTAGGGACTAGGGAACTCATGCAGATTATAGGGGAAATTAGAACTTCCCTTACTAATTATGTTATTTAAAAAAAACTAAAAGACTATAATGACTACATTATATGTATGTAAATCTCACTTTCATTGTGCTTTTTATGAATCCAGGCACATGCCAGGTAAGAGTTCCATCACTGGGCTATGTTCCTAGCCTGGAATTTTTTATATAGAAATGATATGAAATTGGTAACTGGAAGAGAAGGGATACATATCAATACTGACTTAAACATTATAAAAATGGCAAAATCAATCATTTGTCACAAGATGGATGAAGAAAATTGTGTGTACACACATACACATACACACACACACAAAACAGAACACCTGACAGTCTTCAAAAAGAAGTAAATTCTGAGACTGGTTTGCTCTGTTGCTGAAGTGATAAAGGCCATAAAACGACTGCACTGCAAGAACAAGGAACGTAATGCTCTCCCCAGGACCCAACTACAAAAGACTGGGCCAGGTGACTATGGCAAGGTCTCAATCTGTAAAGTGCTTGTCTGGTAAGCATCTAAATCCAACGCCCAAAATCCACACAAAACTCCTGGAAGGGTAACTAGTAATCCCACCCTTGGAGAAACAGAACAACAGAAGCTCTAGGGTGCACTGGCCAGTCAGACTAAGTGAATCATGACCTCCTTATTCAGTGTGTGATTCTGTCTTAAAAATATGATATTGAAGATATCCAAAATCAATCTCTGTCCTCCATATGGTGCATATGTGTGTTCGTGTGTGTGTGTGTGTGTGTGTGTGTGTGTGTGTGTGGTATCTGTGTGCATGCACACAGGCACGCACACGCGCATGCACACATACGTCTGAACAGAGACCAGGAATGCAGTCATGTGAGGAGAATTCTGAGTGCTAGTGAGAACACTCCAAGAAAACAAACTGTTCATGGAATGTGCGTGCATGCTCCTCCCAGGTGTAGCAAATAGGGCTGAGTTTACATTAGATTACTCATTAGTACTTGCAGCTGTTATCCAATTAAATGTTTAAACTATCCTTTATATGCCTCTATGGAAAAACATGCTTTGCCACATGTGGCTTACAGTTGTGATTGTAAAAATTTAAACTCATGAGAACTTTAGTCATGTCCCGTAACCCTTAGAGCATAAATTGTTTGATGCTCTGAATAAAGTTAGCTATTGCATGAGACTTCGATCTGCCTCGTTTACTGGTTCCATTCTCCCAGGTTCCACTACCTGTAGAGTGGACACCCACTGGGACACACACACAAAGAAATGCTGCCCATGAGGCTGGAGAGATGCTTCAGCACTACAGAGCACATGGTGGCTCTAAACTGTAACTCTGAAACTCTCCTCCCCGACGCCCAGGCATGCATACAGTGTCCAGAACACTCATACACTAAAGTAAAACTAATCTTTTTAAAAATATTGGCCCAGGGCTATGAGGTAAAGATGGGCACATCCCCTGGGGTCATGCTTCCACAAAGGAAGGGTTCCAGACCAACAACAGACCCTATCTAAAGAACAAAATTGTATATATGGCCTGAAGTATGACATGGGAGACTTACTTTTTACAGCCAGAGTTTTTTACTAAGGAGACACAACCACATGTCTAGCCACCTCAGAAAGGGAACTTACAACAGTCTAAAGTAACCACTGCACCAAAGTCAGACTATTGAACCAGTTTTTACTGGAGCTACTAACAGCACCATGAGTGAGGAGGTACTTACAAGGAGGAGAAGTGACTCAAAAGCAGCTCCATCACCAAAGCCCACCTCAACACGGCTGATAGTTACCAAAGCTGCTAATAACCCTGGAGTGCTTTCCAGCTTGCAGGTAGCTTGATTATCCGAGCAGCTCATCTCTGTGAAGTTGGCTTCCCCAGTCTCCACACCTAGCAGTTGTGTACTCCTTTTCATACAGCTAGGGAGGCCCTCAAAAAAATCTCCCAATTTTCTGTTCTCCCAGACATTTGCTGCCCAGGAGACTTCCCACACCCTCCTGGACATGTTTCCATTTGGAGGAAACCACCATACAAAACAAGCAATGCATATGTGCCTACAATAAAAGGGATCCCATGCAGATGCGTGTCTGCACATACGCACTTACCCTGCCACACCAAAGGAAGGAAACTCTTCCATTTGCAACAGCATACAGGAAACAAGTATGAAGTGAAAACAGCCAGGCCTGCACAGAAGGACAAAGTTTCAATCTTCTCTAAGCCAATCATATCCGTGGTAGCAGAGCTGAATGATGTACCTGCAGGGTATGGAGAATGGAGATTAATGAGAAAGAAAAGATGGTAATCAAGGCTGAATCTTCAATTAGACAGGAGGAATTTTTGACATTACCACAATGGATGGGGATTACTAATAGCAACAGGGAGCTACATGTTTCAAAATTGCTAAGGAAACATTTCAAATGTTAATATCAGAAACCACCAGTATTTTAGGTGTCAGATAAGTTAGTTCTCTTGATTTCATCACTCCATATGGTACATATATCATACATACTGTGACCCCAGATACATACACAACTTTTCAATGCACAAGAAAATAGTGTAAAAAAAGTCAAAAGTTTCTGTGCACTATGAAAACAAACTATATTTAAATGCCTTCCTCTCTAGTGGGTTATCATTCATATCTGTGTAGCCTTCCCTACAGAGGTCCTGTATAAGAGGAGCTAGGAATCAGGGTTACTAAGGGAAATGTCATTCTCAGAGTGAAAATGAACCACAGCCAATAGCCCTGACACCAGGAGCAATACTAATTTCCTAGTTCTGATTAGTGAATCCACAGCTTATTCCACAAATGCCCATTTCTTGAATTTTATTTCCTTTTTTTTCTCTTTTAACACCACTGAGGAAAATGTGAGACAAACTAAGAACTTTTGGTTCCCCAGATTCTGCCAAAAAATATAGGTACATTAAAATTCATAGGAGCTGAAGAAATGGCTCAGCAGTTAAAAACACTTGTTGACCTTCCAAAGAACCTGAGTTTAATTTCCAGCACCCACATCAGGTGGCTCACAATTGCCTATAACTTTAGCTCCAGAGGATGCAACACCTCTGACCTCTAAGGGTGCTGGTAGTCATGTGCACATACCCACACAGAGACACAAACACCAACAAGTATAATTTTTAAAACAACCTTTAAAAATATCATGCTCATATCTATGTATATATACATAATGTTGCTTTAGCAATTTATTTATGTTAATGTGGAAGAGCATCCTCATCTAGTCCAGGCCTTATGGCTGTGGGCTAGTAACAGGTTCCCCAATGTCAGTTCTGTATAGTAAATCATAATAGTAGTGGCGCTTCCAGAAAATTTATTTGCAATTAACATTCAGGTACCTACCCTACAACTGACCAACCCAGCATTTTGTACTGTTGGTTTGGAGGCACAGAGAAATTTGAGAAGCACTAACTGAAGATGGCTTGAACTACAGTTGTTTTCTCTGGTGAACCAAAGGAGAGGTGGAATTATTCAAAATAATCTAAATTGTGATTAGGGTTTGGGTCTGGCATACAGTTCACAGTTGCAAATTTGAAAAAATGTGAATGATTTCAAACTTTCATGTAAGCTAAGCTCATCCTTGAGTTCCTGTTTTGCTTTCCTGATTAGAGAGTATAGGCTCTACATGAAATAGGAAACACTATTCTATCATCAAATAAAATAAGATTCTTCCACAGGGGTCCTGCTATTATGTAGGCCAGAGTTAAGTTGTTTTGAGACAAAAGTTTTACCCTGTCAGTCCAAGTTGGTACAGAGAAACCTAAATTTGTCAGAATATGATTAAAGGAAAGTTTTACTTACTTTAATCCCAAAATATGTTTATGCCTCACACTAAAGTTCCTGTTCCAGACTCCTCCAGAATAAATCTTCCTGACACAATATGCATCATGCTCCAAACCATTATTTTTATGTCTTGCTACAAAGCAGATGGCAACTGGTATGCTGCAAAGAGCAAAAATAAAGTGTTACTCCTTTGGCTCATCCAGAGCTTCAAATACAGTACTCACAAGAGCAGCCAGTCTGGCACTCGGAAACCAAGGCTCTAAATTCATTCTATCTAAACACTACGCAAATACGTGTATTCTGGCCAGCACTTCCTGATTTGCTGATCTTCTCTTACTCTGTCCACTGCTGCCCTCCCTTAGACCCTGCTAGCAACTCACCAATAATAACCTGAAAATGCTCCAGTCTCATCAACCCACCAGAAACATTGACATGCTGCCACCTTATGAGACGGCATCACTGGTCTCAAATCTTCCCCTTCGTCCTTGTAGTCACCTCTAACTTTGGCCCCCAGGTCTCTGCACTCTTTCAGCTGGGAGTGCCTCGCCAGATCCTTTCTTCTGCCAGCTGTGGTCTCTTTGTCTCAGCCCAAAGCCCTCAGGGAAGTCTGCTAAACTGGAAGCTTACACCTGATACAGAGCCAGGAATTCACATCACACCTTTCAAGCCTGTTCTGACCTCCAATCTCGGTTTGACCTTGTGGGGTTCCTGGGCAAATGGTTCCTGAATCCAGGAATCTTTTATGCTTAAACATAAAAAATGCCTGGCCTGCCCTATTTTTATTTGTTAATATTTCCCTAAATCTGTGTTTGAGGTACACTTGTATCATCACTGAAGTAGGAATTCATTTTCCTTTTCAGTGAGCAGTAGTATATTGTGAGCCATTTTAGCTGCTGATTCAACCTCCACTTTCAATGTGCTATGTTCTACGTATTAACCCTGGCACTGCAGCTTTTTTTGCTTGACTTTCATCATATACCTAAGCAACAGAGATGTTTCACAATATTAGTTTCTGCTATAGAATCCTCACTATTCTATTATGTTTGTGCTTGTTGTTGTTTTATTTTTAGGTAGGAAGTCAACATGTATCCCTGCCTGCCGTCAAATCCACAGTTACTTTTCCACCTCACAGTCCCAAGTGATGAGATTACAGACCTAAACAATGCAAAGCCATCCGGTTTGTTAGAGCCCCACTCCTCAACTCTAAAACAATTACCCAATAAGAAATAAAACAGCATGACACTGTCTACAAAGATTTTTGGATTTGAACCCCAAAGCAAGAAAAGTAACCACAGATAAACAGGATTATTCCAAGTTAAGGCACTTCTGCACAGCAAAGAAAACAAAAATATAGACACAACATCCAGAGAAGAAGAAAGTTGAAATATACCTACTAAGAGGTTTGATAGCAGTCTAAGGAAGTCAATTCTATATACAGTAGGAAAAAAAAATTGAAATGACTAGAAAACCTCAATAGACTTCTAACAGGCCCCCAGACCTTAGTACAACTGACACCATGTTAGAGGCATCTTCAAACCCAACAAACAGGCCCTAATATCTGCCAAAATGGGAAAAGAGACCTAATCCATCAAAGATCTAAGTCTGTAGTTCCAAGAAAGTCCCAAAATGTAATAACCCTGTTTTTTGGCTTCTGTATTTCTGTTTCTTGATATCCGAAGTGTGACAACCAAGATATGTATTTTGTGCATAAAAGACAAAAGGGCTGTAAGGTTCAGGGCTGCATGATTTGGGCAAGTGCCTGGTGCAGCTGCCAACTGACAAGAAAGACTTTCTTTTCAGCTTTAAGAATGTCCTCTGCTGGTCTCTGCTATCGTTATCAGTATCACTATTGGTAGAAGTATAAATAGTTGATTTATTTGTATTTTTTGTTTGTTTGTTTTTGTTTCAGGCAAGGTCTCCTTTGCCTTTAAATTGATCTTCCTTTCTCTGCTTCCCAAGTGCTGAAATTACAGGCATATGATACCAGTCTCTAGTAATGATAAGCCGTTTCTTTTAAGCTGGGGAGATAGAGCACTCAGTCCTTGCCACACAGGCAAGAGGACCTGAGTTCAACCCCCCAGAACTTACCTAAAACTACAGTGTGTGTGCTGGTCTTACCACTTAGGGGCAGAGATATACAAATCCCTGGAACTTCCTGGATAGCCAGCCTAGCTTGACTGATGAACTCCCAGGCCTGTAGGAGACCCTATCTCAAAAACCGAGGTGAACCAGGGTGTGGAGGTGCACACCTTTAGTCCCTGCCTAAAGCAGAGGCAGAGACAGGCAGATCATTTTAAGTTTGAGATCAGACAGAGCTACATAAGACCCCGTCTCGAAAAACAAACAAGCAAAACAAAATGAAGGTGGATAGTGCTTAAGGAATGATACAAGGTTGACTCTTGTAACACACAGGTATCAGTATGCATAACCAAACACACATTTTTTTTTCATGTCACATATAAATAAAATCCATTCGGGAGTGTTCTGGGCTTCCTACAGCTCCCCACTGGTATGGGTCCCCAGGAATTAGGATTCCCACAATACCACATGGGTAGTGGGAATGGATCAACCCAAAGGCCCTGGTACCTGGGACTTGGTACAGGGAAGAAGACCCACTGCCCAGTTCTTGTAACCTGAGTCTAAAAGTCAACCTATGGACATATAGTTTCTGATATTTGCATCATCTTTTCTATAATCTGTAACACTGCTACTGTCAAGGTTGGGACAGACTGAGAAGGTCTTTCCTCAGTTTTAATTAAAACTGACGAAATTCTGTCCTGTATACATAAATATTTTTCTTGTTAATGTGAGGGAGCATTTTAATCCTCATCAGCAAGAACACTACTTGGAATTAGAACTGAAGGCCTCCAGTAACACTTTCAAGTTTATATGTCACCTCTGTTGCAGGGTGTGTTCAAATGTTTGGCACTGTGGCATAAAGTTGTGATCTAGAAAATGTGCTGGGCCACATTCATAACTATGCTGATACACATGTGAGACACAGGTTGGCTAGGAATGGGAGCTCAACAGTTTTCCAAGGATAGTCCTATGGCCAGTGCTGTTTCCTGCAAATTGTTAGAAATTTAAATTTTAGGAAACGTCATGCACACGCACGCACGCGCGCGCGCGCGCGTACACACACACACACACACACACAAATGGATGAAAGAACTCTTATTAGCAAAGCAGCAGTCTGTATCTAAACAAGTCCCTCGGAGAAATTGAATGCCTGGAAGAATCTAAGAAGCAGTAACCTGCTTCATTCTTGCTTCTCTCATTAATAAAGCATCAAGATGTCTGGCCGTTCAAAATCTTTAAAAGTTTGCTTAAGGTTTTGGAGACTTTGTGATTACATGCTGTCAATTGACTTGGCTTATTAAACAAAGAACTAGCACAGAAGAATTTCAAATGCTCAGAGTGTTATGATGTCCTAAGCAGATTACAGACAGGATCCAAGTCCAACAGTGGATTCTGACCTCAGGTTAAGTCAGATTTTCCAAAAGGGGTCCTGCTTCTGAATATCAAATTCTCTCACCAGCAATAAACTTCTTTGGCCTTAAGTATTACTTGATCGCTCCCACTCCCCACTCCCTCCAAATAGCTGCACCAAGAGCTAAAAGTCCTGAGGAAAAACATACCTGGAGGAAAAGTTTGCTTTATTTTCTATCCAAAAGATGTGAAAGAGAGCACTCTGCCAACCCTTCCCTCAGGGCAATCTACAGGTCGCTAACTCTTTGTGCTCTAACTGTTCCAATTCAAATGTAAATGACAATTGTTAGAATGTGAAGTGTAAAAATAAACCCTGCTCCTCCAACCCCCCACTCAGCTCACAGCGGATTATGGAATCCACTGAACACAGCAAGAGCAGCCTTTGTTAATTTGTAGCTCAAAATAACCATCCCAACAGAGACAGAATGAATCTGAAACCAAAGGGCCCAGATAGTTTCATACGAACATGATCTAGATGTGTGAGTACTGGTCAGCAACAGTTTCTTGCCCAGTTCTTACTTGGCTTCATCTTTTAGTGTCCATCCTTGTATCTCTCTGATCCCTAACCTAAAACGACAGAACAAAACAAACCCAAAGGCTAGCACACCGGAAACAGCGACCCGCCTCACTGTGGCGTCATCAAAAGTCGCCGGGAGTTCGGTCCGTTCTCATCCACCCCCCTAACCCCCAATCTCCTCACTTCAGTTCCCATCTCTTTATGTCTTTGGCAGCTAGAGGTTTATAACCTTGAGCCGGAAAGACCGGCCGCGACATCCTGCTTTGTCCTCTTCCCTGCTGCTGACCGGCCCAGCCGTGTGGTCTCCGGGAGCATCGGCAACAGTAGCGGCAGTAACCACACCGGGCCCGATCCCAGAAGCCTCTGCGAAGGTCGCCGCCCCCAGAAGTTCGTGGCGTCTTTCCCGGACCACCCAGGACGCCGTACTGCAGAGCTAGCGTCATCCCTAGCCCGCTCCAACTTTCATCACGGGCTTGAACCCCCGGGAGTTGCCAGGTGTTAGCGGGCCAACTCGATACAACAAGGCATCTTTTATGCTAAAACATAAAAATGCCTGGCCTGCCCCTTTCTCGTTAGTTCTCTTTAGGTTGACTCACAGTTACCAATTATTCTGAAGTCGAAATTCATTTTCTCAATTTGATACTTTATCGCGACTCATTTAAGCTGCTGAGTCAACCCCGGCCCTGGTGTGCCCTTTCTGTTGTGTTCACTTTGAAGTTGAAACTCTTTCTAGCCTCTCTTTCCCATCTTTGTGGTTCGTGTGTGTCTTGGCTGCAGGCCTTAAATGCAGCGGAGGCTATTTTATTGTGTTTGTGGGCGAGTGTCCCAAGGCGTACCTATGGTGGCAATCAGAAGACACTCTTCAGGAGTTGATTCTTTGCTATTACCTTGGGGGATCTGGGGACTGAAACCAAGTCGTCCAGTTCTCACCCCCAGAGCCATTTCACTGGCCCCTATGGGCTTTTGGAAGTGCAGTTTCTGGACTGAATTCTCCACTCACCCACTATCAACTTGGACAAATTAAGCAGGTATTCCATTGGTTTTCTCTATTGTAGAATGAGTACACTAGCAGTACCTACTGCTGCTAGTGTTCTACTGAGAAGAGAAACATTTTGTAGCACAAAATTAAGGAGTTGATATACTGCTTAGTAGATATAATTATTTTAAATTTATTTTTAAACTTTAAGATCACTTTATATTTTAGGTCTCTTGCTTGAATGTATGTCTGTACACCTAGTGGGTGTCTGTTGCCCACAGAGGGTAGAAGAGGGTGCTGAGTCTCCTGAAATGAGTTTGCCAACATGTATGTGCTGGGAATCGAACCCAGGTCCTCTGGAAGAGCAGCCAGTACTTTTAACCACTGAGACATCTCTCCAGACCCATAGTTTTAAAACAAAAGATTGTATTTTCTGTGTGTGTGTTTGCTTGTATGTGTACATTTGGACCACCTGTGTGTCTCCAGACCAGAGTCCAGAAAAGGACTTCTCGGGTGTTTGTGAGACACCTTGTGAGTGCTGAGAACCAAACCCGGGTTTCTACAAGAGCAACAAGAGCTGTTAACTGATGAGCCATCTGTCCAAGGCCTGGAAATTATAATTCCTGGAAATCGGTGAAATTACAGTCTCTCTTAAGAGTTGCCTATGAATAATAAGAATAATAATGGGTATTGGAGGAGTTATGGAGCAGAGAACATGACAGTGCAAAAAAAAACAAACAATAACACTTTGGTGGTAGTTTAATATGTTGTTCCTTGCTCTCCTTCTTTTGAAAAAAAATTTTTTTTTGTTGAGTGTGATGGTTTGTATATGCTCTGCCCAGGGAGTGGCACTATTAGAAGGTGTGGCCCTGTTCGATTAGGTGTGTCACTGTGGGTGTGGGCTATAAGACTCTCACCCTAGCTGCCTGGAAGTCAGTATTCTGCTAGCAGCCTTCAGATGAAGATGTAGAACTCTCAGCTCCTCCTGTACCATGCCTGCTTGGATGCTGCCATGATCTTGCATTGACAATAAAAAAAAAAAAGAAAAATTGAAAAAATTGAAAATTGAACTGAACCTCTGAACCTGTAAGCCAGCTCCAATTGAATGTTGACCTTATAAAAGTTGCCTTGGTCATGGTGTCTGTTCACAGCAGTAAAACCCTAACTAAGACAGTGGGGATTTTGTTTGTATATTTTTCCCTAAACGAAATTGATTTTGTGGTTTCTGGCATAGTAGACTAGTATTCTTCCACTGAGTTACATTGCTGGCTAATCCTGTGGATTTTTTTTTAAACAGCAGGTTTGAAAAGTCATTTTAGTCAGCTAGCAAAGAAGTTAATGTTCTGAAAATTACAACTGGTCAAGAATAATTGGAGCCTATAGTTGAGTGAAAATAAGCTTAGGCTGTGGAAATGGGTCAATCCATAAGAGAGCTTGCTGCAAAAAAGCATGAGGACCTGAGTTCGAATCCCCAGCTCATGTAAAAATCTGGAAAACCTATCACTTCAACATCTAGGATCAGTGAGAGACCACCCTGTCTTAAGGGAATAAAGTGGAACAGAGGAGTGGAGGCACACTTAAATACAGAACAATTCAGGTATACACTGTACTTCTCAATTTCATAAAGAAAAAGGGCATAAAGTATTCTAAATTGGTACACACACACACACACACACACACGAATTGTATCAGTATACATTCAGGTCAGGTACCTTTGTTCTCTTTTAAACACAAGAATAGCCACCAATAAAGAACCATCTATTTCATGAAAGCTGGTTACCTAGGGTAGGAGTAAAATAACAGTGTTCACTAACACCTACCAACTTTCCTACGACCATGCAGACCTCAATACTGCCTATTTTACCTCAGGCTACTAGGGATAAAAGTGTAAGATCCTCACCTCATTCCTTCATTTTTTATAGACTCTGTAGGATAGGTCACAATGCTTATTTAGCAGCGTACCAAAAGACTGTCCAGCTCTGTCTCTAATCAATATTTTAGTAATTTCTATAGTAACAGTCTGCAGATTCAGCTTTGTAGTAAGTTCATGGCTAGATAAGAATATTTAGGAACCCATTTCAAAAAAGCAAAAGCAAAACACTACAAATACATACACGTACATGTGTGTACACGCACACACACCCTAGGCCACATATACTGGGCATAGTTAATCAGTGAACACAAAGCTATGGGAGAATCATCAGTTTCAGGCTATCCTAGGCTATATAGCAAGCCATTTGTTTGGTCAGCTATGGGGGAAATTGAAAATAAGGCATCACACATGGTAGCAACTGCTCTACCACTGAGCTAAATTCATTCTCTAGTCTTTTTTTTTTTGTTACAGTACATTTGCATCCTCACTCCCAAAACCAGATTATGAAGAGATTTGTTTTGGTAACTGAAATAAACAGTTTTAATGTGATGAAAATATGATTCAATTTTAAAAATAGTACTTACCTCGAATGTTGGAATTTTTTGAAATCCTTCTCAGAGTAGTTCTAATAGTTTTTCTCATTTATGAAAGAGATATGGTTCTTGATCATAATGAAATCTTCTATTTTGTTTTAAGTATTTTTTGTTACTTTCCAGTAAGTACCTAACACTTGTTTTTCTTTACTTATCTGTTGTAGTTAGGGTTTTACTGCTGTGAACAGACACCATGAACAAGGCAACACTTATAAGGACAACATTTAATAGGTTCAGAGGTTCAGTCCATTATCATCAAGGCAGGAGCATGGCAGCATCCAAGCAGGCATGGTGCAGGAGGAGCTGAGAGTTCTACATCTTCATCTGAAGACTGCTAGCAGAATACTGACTTCCAGGCAACTAGGATGAGGGTTTTAAAGCCCATGCCCACAATGACACACCTACTCCAACAAGGCCACACCTCTTAATAGTGCCATTCTCTGGGCCAAGCATATACAAACCACCACACTATCTTTATTATTTTATGTATATGAGTACACTGTAGCTGTCTTCAGACACACCAGAACAAGGCATCAGATACCATTAGAGATGGTTGTGAGCCACTATGTGGTTGAGGAATTGAACTCAGGACCTCTGGAAGAGCAGTCAGTGCTCTAACTGCTGACCCATCTCTCCAACCCCCATCACTCTATCTTAATCCTTCAAGTTTCCTGACAGCTTTTCTTGCCAAGAGTGATTTATAAGTGTGAAATGGAATACCTTCTAAGATGGAGTTTTACATGTAATAAACATTTTGATATTTTCTGAGGCTCATAGATGAAAATAAGAGACTTATTATTTTACTTTATCAAAATATAGGTACTGAAAGCAATTGTATTCAGGTGATGTTTCTGTTGACAATAGCATTGGGAGTGTCAACCAATCAAAAAAGATGTTGTAGGACCCCGAAGGGCTGCTATGCTCTGGGTGAGCCTTTCTGTATGCTGCTGTCTACTGAGTAACATTCTGTGGTTCCTCTAGGATCAAAACATCCTGACTAAGGCATGGTGCCCCAGGAAGGGAATTTACACTTGACATCCTATTGCCCCCCAGTTGAGTTCCTGTTTTTTTCCTGAGTTTGTATTTTTCCTTCCCTGGATTGGTGTATGTATTGAACCTGCTCAGTAAAAGCTTTGGCATTCTTTCATAACGGATGACCCGAATCTGAGTCTTTCTTTAATCCCCCAGGCCTACCCGAGTTCGGTACCACGGGCAGCACCGGAGCTGTCAAGTGGAGGTCCCACTGAGATCTGGAAAGAGAGGAGAACTTGAGGGGATCATTCCTGGAAGAGGCTGGCCAGGAGGCTCAGTGAGTGGAACATATTGGAGAAGCGGCGATGGATCAAACGGGAAGTAGTAAGTAGCACTAAGAGTTTGATTGTTTTGATTGCGCCATGGGAACTAGGAGTTCCTTCCTACAAGTAGTGGCACAGGATGGTGCAGCTAAGAAATCCTTGCATGAGGTGGAGAATAGCTCTAGTTCTGAGGATGAGGGAGAAATTTTAGAAAAGAAAAAATTGAAGAAATCCAAGGTCAAAAAATCAGAAGGGGAGCCTGGAAAGGGGGAAACAAGAGCAGATGAGCTACTCAGTACCCCAGTGGTGGCGGTGGCAGCCGGGATGGCACGATGGCTGGGCTGGGGGCATTTCTGCTGCTGCAGCAGCAGTGGTGGCGGGCAGCTGCAGGAGCTGTGGAGGTCGCGGTCCACACAAGCCATGCAGAATAAAAACAAGAAAGAGAAAGAACCAGAAAAATTGGTCAAAAGTGGAAAAGGTTCAAAAGAAGGACAAAATACAGCAGAACTAGAGATAGCCAGCAGGAAAAACAGCCTTGGAGCTGTCCAGTTTTCCACACCCACTAAAATAAAAGTACCAGTCCCTCAGCCAATCGTAGTCCCTGTGAAGAAAGA